ATACCAAAATAAACTAAGAGAAAGTAGGGTCAAGATCATAAAATTACTAAACTGATATATGGTAATAGTAGCAGATAAACAGACATAAATAATGTTGAGCAACCAAACAATCAAAGAAAAAAGGGGGAAAAATATTTTGAAGATAGGCAACGATAAAAGCCTTAAAACCTGAATTAACATAATTACGTTTGAGTTGATAAGATAATCACACAGAAATATATATATTACAAATTGGAATCGACTTTAAAAATTAGTTATACAATGCCATTATTAAAATATAACGTACACATTCATCTATACCTAAAACTAGTTTATCATAATGCGTCTATCAAAGTTATATACTCAGACATTCATTCATTAAGTTATCTATCTATCAATCTATCTTTTTATATATTTGTTTGATTATTCGTTGGATTCTTTTTTTTTTTATTATTTAGATTTAGATTTTAGATTTTGTACCCATCCTAACGGTAGTCCTATCCAAAGTCCTATATAATATAATCGTAGATTCCCTGTAGCATTTTGTTTTAAGCTATCCCAACACACAAATCACATACATGTACCTGATAAAGTTGCATAAACTGGTTTGAAATCAGTGAAATGGTACTTTGATAAAATACCATACGGTGCGTGATACAATCAATCAAAACTATTTGCTGGTTCTGAATCCTTGTCGAATACTGCTGCCAATGGTTGTATACCTATATGCATTACTATTTCGTGGCGGTAAGTGGGAGGAAGGGTGAATTTTTTCTTCAACAATTCATTTTTCCGATGGTTCATGATTCCGAAACACAAATATGAGATGCAAGGGCATTCATAATTCTGAACGTTTTGTTTCATTGTAATTTTTGTCATTAATCAGAAGGCTTGTTATTACGGTGGTTCGTTTATACAAAGGTTCATATTTCTGAGAATGAAATATTGTTCTTTTCCATGGTAGAAATTGGAACATTTGGGAATGGACAAAAGAATATTAGTAAACGCCATGGATCTTCGGGAAATCGCATAAACCATTGTTTCAAGCACGTTTCCCTATGAAAAACAATTTCTCTTAAGAAATAAATTTACCCTTTCTACACTCACTATGTAACATTTAAAAGAGCTCCATGGCCTGTTTTGTTTTTTTCTTCGACCTCCTTATTTTGATATATTTATTAAAGATGTATTGTTCTTGCCTAGTTAAAACAATGAATTATCTGTAACATGCTTATTTGGAAATATTTATTGTGTATCTAATGTCTAGAGCTGCATCCTCGATCAGGAGAATGACAACAGTTTGTTTTGTATAGCTGACAGTGCTGCCAATAAAATAAAACTATACAAATAAACAAACAAAACTAATACATAGATAAATGAATAAAAATAGATAAGGCGAAGGTATAGTCACTCGCACTCTCTATGAATTCACATTCAAATACTATCTTACCGACTGATTTTTAATATCACTGAAATGGGATCGAACCTTTTTAGTTTTCTTGCTAACTTCAGGATAGAATGCTTTTATACTTTGCAGATTTTTTTTTCTTCAAAGATTTACCATCAAATATGTTAAATGACATCAAATTAATAAAAGCAAATTTATTTGCACATTCATATAATAAATTAGGCATTATCACATCTCTCCATCTATCAAAGGGTGTCAACTTTCTCTTTTTAAGACATGTTAAATTTGGGTGAAACATTTAAATAGGGCTCTTCAAGCCATGCATGACCTATACTGCACCATTCAACCAACTTCATATTACTCAAACATTGAAAAGTATGCCTAAACATGAATCTGTAATTTATTTCTAACGCCCTTCTTTTTTATATCAAGCACATACCATAAAACCGCAGACTCAGACGCAAGAACTTAAATTTAGCCCCGGGGCTGCATTGAGCAAACCTACAACTCTTCTGGTTTCAAATCAAAGCTTTTATCAATGCCTAACATACAACTCAAATGATTGGTCAAGCGCGGTCACGTGTGATTCATTTACTGAGACTAGCCGACGTGTTTTTTCCCCCAATAAAAAGCGTGCAATAGTTTCCGGTTCTATCTAAAGATTTTTGAGTACGCAATGTGCGCGTAGAGGTTAGTGGGCTTATCTTTTTTGCGCGGTAAATAAGCCTACGTTACTTCGGATTTTGTCAGCGATAATGACACGAAACATTCTTGAACTGAATTCCTTTTGCATTAAAAAACAATGATCCAGGTCTGTTAGGAGTTTCGTTGTATGAAACAAAATTATACATGTTTTCGCTCTCCGCTCTTGTTAAGTCTCTTTATGCACCTATCGTATCCCGCCTAACTGCTTCATACGATAAATGCATAGAGCGTCGACGCGCGTGCGGGTAGATCGTATTATGAACTCATTCGCACGCATCATCTTGTATACCATGAATTCAAAGTTATAAATACCCACCGTACATTCATAACATATTCTTTTTTGTTACTCCTCCACCAGCAATACTACCAAATCAGTTATAGGGATATGCTTCGGATGATTGGTTATAGTATTGATGACTGTAAACCATTGACAATGTATGGGCTCCCTGTTTTTGTATAGTGATTACAGCGATATGATTTTGCAATATCATCAATACAACAGCATTTCTGGTTATACGTCTACGATAATTTATTTCAACAAAATTAGATTCCGTTTAAATAAAAGCTGAATAATTAGTATTGTGTACTGTTTTCCCGCATGAAATTGATATCGTATATTTGCTGGTTGATTAGCCAGAGTCGTATATTCCCAACCAGATTAAAAATTAAAATTGATTAAGAATCAGTGTGCTGTGAACAAGAAGGTCGTTAACGCATAATATGATTGATTGATTGATTGATTTTATTCGTCAAGTATAGTACAATGAATGCATACATAAAGCAAAATGAAAAGAGAAGATACATTGACAGGATAACCCATGAAAGCCGGAAAAGGCTTATTTCCAATGGGGTCCTATAAAGTACGTGTACAGTACGGCATGAGAATAAAATATCACAACTAATAACTACTACGAATATTACGAATAAATAATATAACATTAACAACAACAAAAATTTCTAGAACTTATAGCAAACAATGATCTACGGTATATTATGCAAGATTAAACTTAAAAACATGCGCTACACATAATGAACTGTGATTTAAGATAACTGATATTACTGTTCTTGAAGGGATTCATGCTTTAGGTATTGTTTTAATACACTTTTAAAGTGTGAAAAATTCTTAACTATTTTGACATGTTTTGGGAGAGAATTCCAAAATTGGATACCATTAAAATAAAAAGAGTTTCCAATTTGTCCTTTTCGCTTGGGTAAAACAAAATCAAAATGACTATTTCTTGTATCGTATCCATGGATATTTGAGACACGAGTAAAATTATTAGTAATATAATGATCTACATCTGAGTAGTATATTTTATGGACATGGTGTAACACGAGTTGTTTAGACCTTTGACCTACATAGAGTATACCTGCTTCTTCAAGTTCATTTTTCCCGACGTGTGTTCTTGGGCCTAAGCAATTAATAAATCTTACCATCTTATTCTGAATTATTTTTAACTTTTTCTTATCCATCTTGCCCAGACTACTGTACCAAGCAGCATTAGCATAATCAAATAAACATTGTATCTTCAACACAGAATCAATGCTCTTCTACATCCCAGCAGCCGGGTAAAAAATCCACGACTGTGATGATAATAATCAGAAAATGAAAAAAAATATACCATTACACTGTTCAATTTAGTGTTGCTCTTAGCAATCTCGAACTTTTGCCCGACGTATTACCTGATATTGCAACGTAGATTATATCAGAAAGGAGGCCATTACCATGACGAATAGCAAACATTTTAGACAATACTTCTACCAGGTTACAGCACGTGATGTCGACTGCAATGCAACTGCATTTTTTTCTGTTTGATATGAGAAAAATGAACTAATTATATTCCTCATTGTTTTGTAATCACCGCAATAAGTTAAAATTATCTAGGCCATCAAGTTTCAAGTTTCATTTTGCTTGGGTACTATGCCATCTACCAAAGACAAATTAAATACAAATGTCAATGGAGAGACTATTTCATGGGTAATAGGGCTCATCTTGTCAGTTGCCCCCCCCCCCCCCCCTCTCTCTCTCTCTCTCTCTCTCCCTCTCCTTCTCTCCTCTCCCCCTCTCTCTCTCCTCTCTCTTGCTCTCTGTGTCTCTATGTCACTCTCTCTCTCTTACTTTGATATATAACGTGTTTTTTGTCTTGGACATTTATGTAGCCTATTTTTTATAAAGGGTAGCGCCCATTTAAACGAGCATTGATTTTCAACCAACACACCAATCAGGATAGTGACATTTGTGACTTGCATTTAATCTGTTTGTAGAAAAGGTCACCATCTTTCTTTACTCATTTTACATGCTTTAAAGGTATTATGTCCCATTTGCAGCCAACATCAATTCTAAAGAACTTTGCAGGAATTATGAATATGTCACGTATGTCCTATCTGTGAAATTAAAACGTTATCAGTGTCCTAATCTTCTAATTATGCAAGGAAACCCGTTTACTTTCTAGACTTCACTGTCACACACTGTTGAGTGACTGACCGACTTCCTTTATTTTCTTTGGTAATAACATACACACAAATGAGCAAAAAAGGGTACATGAGCATTTGTCTACATCAATAACCCAATTCTTGCAATGACCAAAATTAAACTGATCGAATCCTTGCTCTGCACAAAACGTACGACCATAGGGTACAAAGGTCTGAAAATCAGAGTATTACTTTAGTGATTGCAATCACTAAAGTCCCTTCGACAACAAATCGTCGTTATTTTACCATTCTTTTAAGCCCTTCCGTTTTGAGGGAAGTTCTAAATTAGTATCATCTTTCAAATGCCGTTGGAATTTAACCGTATCCTCTGCAAAAGGGACATACTTTGACGTGCTTGACATATTCCCCATTTTATTTTTTCTTGTCAGAATGGCGCATGATGGGAACTTTGACATCGCTGAAGAAGTAGCCCGAGGTCTTGCCATGAGATCGCACGAACCCATCTATGTGACGCAAAACAATCACGACAGCTCAAATGCCGTGGTGTGCAGTATCCCTTACACCGGCTACGTGACAAACGGTTCTTATTTTGATTACGTGACACCGCAAGTGATTGACGATACGTGTGCATCGTCGATGGTTTCGTCAACCTCCGCCCAGGGTGTTTACTCGTCTTCGTGCCCCTCGTCGACAAGGATGCGTAGCGCGGTCGGGAGGAAGCCGTCGAAGGGACCGGACGGCATACGGCGGTACAGCAGCCGACGGAAGACATACGAGCGACGCGACCGCATTAATTCGCGGGAGCGTGACCGCATGCATCAGCTTTGTGATGCGTTCGAGAGGCTTCGTCAGGTGCTTCCATGCAAGCGGCTCAAGCAAGGACCACATCGTCATAGGCTTAGCAAGATCGGCACCCTTGTCCTTGCCCAGAATTATATTCGAGCCTTGGAAGTGATGCTGCAGGAAAGTCCGGACGACACATCAGTGTCAACGGCAGAACTAGACGTTAATGGATTCAGCACGTCTCAGAACAGCATTGCGAATCAACCCAATGGCAGTTCAAACACCTACTATCATGTCGACGAAAGCACAGAGCTTGAGATCGGGGAGTTTTGCGCCATTCCGTCTTCGTTCAACGCCGCTCAAATTAACCCCCATTATACACAAGAATATTACAGAACGGAGTCTACAATTCAATATCAGTATTGAACAAGAGATACACAGAGATAAGAATAAGGATCCACAAGAATCATTATCATTCCCAAATATTCGTTTTTGGACATGACATGCCTTTACTTACTTGACGGCCCTTCTTCATCCTCAGAAGCCCTTAGGTCGAGTAAACAGATATAATTTGTATTTGCCTCGTGCAATGACGTCATGCCTTAAAAAAAGGATGTTGTATTGCCCTTTGCGACCCACCTAAAAGTCTTGAAATCTACGGTCGGCTTTAAAAAGAAAATAATAATAATTTATTAAAATTGTATTAAAGCTTTCAAAACTGAAAAAGGTCAGCCAAAGGAGGGAGTAAACAAAAAAAACAAGTAAACAAAAAAATATTTCCGACCAACCGACCCATTTTTGGCACTTAAAGGGCAATACCACATTTTTTTTTGTGATAGGTCTTATACACAAATGTTACTTCATGTTTGATGTACGATATACGAACTGAACTACCAGGAATACATTTTGTACCATTGTGTTATGTTGTTGTTAATAAATTCAAATTCAAATTCAAATTCAAATTCAAATTCAGGAATGACGTATCAAGAATTCTTAACGGACAGGGGAAACTGGGGAATATGGGGATGCAGGAGGTACCCGAGTATTCTTTCATAGAAGATTATGAAATGGGTATATTATTTAATACTTACATGATATTGTTCATATTATGTGATTATATATTTGTGATGAATAATCGAATTAAATTGAATTGAATTGAATAACGTACGATCTAAACTACCCGTGACTGTCATTGGTTTATGGGCCTTGCTACTCGAGTGGAGGGAATGAGATGGGGAAGCATGACCAAACACGACAAAAATGCATTTTTTTTTTTTTTTTTTTTTTTTTCTTCAACTTGACCATAAATAAGGAAACTCCATAATATGTGGTAAGTAAACTGGGCATCCAACATAAAAAAAAGACAGAATAATTGATCTGGGGAGTGTTTCACAAAGATAATATCGACTTAAGTTGGACTTGAACTATGGTAGGCCGTTCGTGCCACTGGATGCTCTCACCGTTCGTGGCATTGGTCTCTCGAGGTACGTAGAAACGTGGTCACAGATCCGCATAAATTACATTTTGTTGAAAGTTTATCATTGAATAAAAAGATATTATAAGATCATAATTTCTCAGATTTGTTCTCTCTAAAAATTTCACTTCAGGTTCAAGACTTCTTAAGGGCATAAATTGCCTACAGTAGTATAAGTCCAAGTCTTAAATATAACTTAGGTTTACAATGTAAATTACTTATTTTTTCCACGATTAATTATCAAAAAATGTAAAATTCTGCAGATTTGTGACGTCCCTTAACAGACCAATGATGAGAGCAACCAGTGGCATGAAAGGCCTGCCATATTTCAAGTCCAAATTAAGTATATCTTAGTATTTGTGAAATACCCCCCCCCCCTCCCCCCTCCCCCACCCCCGGGCTCTTTAGACCACTTCAAGAATTTCACGTGATTCACTTTTGGAGTAATGTCACACAAGTCACGATCAGTGATAATTAAGGGACAACATAAAATCAAAGACTGACATTAGGATAAAACTTTCAAAACCTAAAAATCTGAGGTATTTTCGAGAGTATCTGGGAATAAATGCAACCAGATTCCTAGTAAAATAAGGTGGACATAACTAAATTTGAAGTGTTTCATATAATTAACACCAGCGTTTCTATTCATGATATCAGTGGTATGTTTCATTATGCAAGCTGTGACGACTGTTTTCCATCTGTAACTGCCCAAATTATTACCAACCTGCTTACCTTTGTAAGAAAATATTACATGATATGTCATTTACATAACACTTACATTACCTGTTACATATGCATAATTTAACACATAAATGCGTATGGGCATTTGCTCTTGCGGTAGTATTCAACGAAATCAGACTATACAGAATGATACACGGACTGTACATCCATGCTTATTCTTCAGTTGAAATGGATCTTGGAATCTGTATTGCATTGTAAATATCATTTTCAAACTATTTATTTAGTTTACTCCTCTTTATTAATAAATTGAAACTGTGTTTCCTATAGTGTTAAATGCATAACCAACAATATGTATGCTTTCAAGTAACTATAAGAGCCATTCGAGTTTGGATGCAAAATATTGCAACCTCATCGAGTCAATTGCACGGGTAACTGATGGAAAATATAAATTGTTTGCACTGGATATGGTTATCCACTCATTCTTCACAACTCACATGTAAAAAAGTTCGTGATGCATACCTAAAATACAGCTCACACACCATTACCCTTACCTTTATGAGATAATTTAGACTTTAATTGTGAAAATAAAGTTTATGCCTTAGGCGTCATGGTAGGGTAAAGTACTGTACTGGTTTAGTGTGATGGTGTACGTGGAGACTGTAGTATTCGCCCTTAATATTCTGAAGAAAGAATTTTGACAAAGTTGTGAAATAAAAATGAGATTTTAAACATTACACAATCCTAATCGGTGTCCTTTTACCCTATTTAATGTTTTATATTTCTTCCACATTTTAACCCGATTCATGTTATGCTTATGTATTCAAAAGCAGAATTAAACTTTGTCAAGCGAGTCGAGATTAAGAGACTGATATTTTGTATTGGGTCAATAGGAGACAGTTAGGAACAAAATGGAGAAAGTTTATAATTCTAAAGTATGACTTTGATCTCACTTATACTATCATGGTATACATTAATGTCGACTAACCTCATTTCTAGCCTGCCACGTAAGTCATTCCGATATAATCAAGTTTGCATTTTTGTTTAAATCGTCAAGACTTGTTTTTTTTTTTACTTGAATATTCTTCATTCTAACCCTCACAAATAATTGTTTGTATGGATTTGCCTTAACATTTAAGGTGCCTTCAGTTTCTTCGAATGTGACGCGAGTCACGCTCGAATGGCTGTTAATTATTGCTCCAAAGGCATCTCATGTCACATACTATTTAATTAAATTTAACACTTCGCTTTTGTTAAAAATATTACAATACTTTGTTATCTGTACAATTGGCATTGAGAAATTGCGCTTTGATTGCAGCGATGGAAAAAACATGATGATGATTGGTGGAGTGTATGAGAGACTGTCGGTAAGCGTGATGATTGGTTAAAGGGCGATCCAACCCTTTTAACAAGTTCGTTTGTTTGAAAGCAGAAACATTAGAGAGACTGAATGGCGGGTTGGCCAATTTGACTCTTAGAGTGCCGATACGTATAGTGATTTACAACTTTCAGATATTCAAAACTTTATTACTTTTCTTCCGATTTCATTACAAATTTCACCAGTCTAATTCTCTTTCTTCTGCTTTCTTTCAGAGTAGTGGTCTATTAAGTTTGAACTTTCCTTTGCAATAAATATGAGCCTAGAGACACTGCTGCTTATGATGATGCCGTAATAAATGATAGTTTGCATGTATTTATTAAATGATGTTTTTCAAAGTATTTGTCAGTGTCGGCGTCACAAATAAAGATATATAGAACCCTACATGGTACATTACCCAGACATCATAAAAACCTTAACCCTAACCTCAACCCAAACCCTAACCCTAAACCCTAACCCTAAAACCGAAAGAAAGAACATCCTATTAAGAAAACGTCCTTAAAGAGAAGGTTGAGTTCTGGGAAGAGGTGAAAAATAATTTGTGAGCGTTACTCATTCTTTTTATGCAAGTGTGGAAGAACATCAGATAAGACATGTTCCCTGAAAAGCATGGCTCTTCAAATGCCTTCATATTCTAAATATGCATGTAACATCGTAAAAATCGGGGGGGGGGCGGCTTTTTACGCCACGTGTTCGTGTAGTCCCATATACATCTTTCTGTGTACAGTGTTTGTAACTTTACCAAGACTTGGCCAAATTTCTTATCATTTTTAAGATTCCAGAACCTTGCAATACACACAAATTCTTATATGCTAGATGATCAACCTTTTCTGGTCGGTTCCACACCGTTTCTTTCACAATGCAATCGCATGACCAGAACTCAACTTCATCTTTAAAGAAACGTATAACAATTCTAAAGAGATTAGGTTCTTGCAAACGGCTCTCCTTATAAGGTGACTGTACAAATTGCACAAGTGAAATAGTATGACACTAAATTAACCACAGTATATCAACCAAGTAAATATTATTTGCCTACCGGTTTTGAACTTGCCGCCCAGTGACCGACTGATCTCCCAGCCGCGACCGGGCAGCGACCACTCGGCAAACTTTGACCTAGCGGCTTTGATGTTTGACCTAAATCGCTCGACGGCGAACGCTCGATTAGGTCGGTGCTCGGGCGGCGACCGCCCTGGCATCGAGCGTATTTTGGGCGCGAGTGAGAAGTGAGCAGACGCTGCCGAATTTGTACTCCGCGCTAAAACTCAGCGGCGACTAAGCGATGCCCTAAAAACAAGCGGTGCCCGGGCGAAACTGGCTAAAAACTCGCTGCCCAGCAGCCAACCAGGCTACTTTTGGGGGTTCTGACCATAGCTTTAGGCATGTTAGTTGATTTCTTCAAAGACTTCGCAATCGTTCTCGACTCTAGATTGATATTTCAATGAAAAAGGCAGTAAAATATTTACAAGATGTGTAATTGTATTAATTACTTTTTGCTTTATGAACATAATAATTCTGTCCCTATCAAAACGTCGTGTTTAACAAAAGGAAACTTTAAACAGACTTAGACTTTTTTTTGTTAAACCCCTAGACGTTTCTTTTTTCTTTATAGAATATGGTCATTAGTAACAGTTAATGAAGGTGAAAGGGGTCTTTTTCACATGGACTGAACCATGGGCGTAAATCCTTACGTAATACCTATTGTTCAGGGGGGATGAATGAATAGATCACCCCCCCCCCCCCTGAACAATAGGTATCTTTTGCAGATTTAAGCCCATGACTGAAACTAAAAAGGCTGTATCATGACTGAAACTGTTCAATGGTTCTTATTTTGAATCAACCGTTAAAACAGTCACTTATATTGCAAAACGTTCACTAAGTGGTTAACAACAACTTCACAAATATTTGTTTTTCATTCTTCTAAAAATGTTATTAACAGCAAT